GATACCAAAATACAATAATTATTTTTCAGTAAATCTGTCATCAAGAGTCCAGAATTAAATACGTTAAATTCTTTTGATGATGGACTGCATATGCAGATTAGACGTAACAATTAAAAAAAATACGAAACCTGGTAGTACCACACCATGCCTAATGTCAATCTTTTTTATTAAGTTTATTGACATTAGTACCGCTTTGATCGCTTGTTGAATATATTTATATTTAATATATTCATTCAAAATATAAACCTACCCCTACACGAATTAATATTGTTTGTATCAGCATCATCATCAATTAATTGTTTCTTCTTTTGGAACATAATCCGGATATTGACAAGTCAAAGCAATTGCAGCATAAACTAAACTGGGTTATACATCGCTATTACAATCATTTTCTGTTGGGCAGTGGATGATGATATTACCACATTATAAGACTGTATGAACGTATTAAAATTGCTAACTAAAATTGTAACTATTAATTAACTGTATTGAAATAATTTATGTCATCTTGCAAATGAGACATTTTAGATTACAAATCATTGATGATTTGCGGGCTGGGCAAACTTTGTTCTTTAGCAGCAGATTGAATACTTAGCTTTATAGCAGCAGATTGTACATTTTTTAAGTCCATCAAAACACGTTGTTTGAGCAATGGTGGTGGTGTAAAATCGAACATAGTCAGATAGTTGTTTGTTCGATATGTATTAAAAATATAATTGGTTTGATGCTGATGAATATTTCTGACGAACCAACTGTGCTGATAAATATTTCTGACAAACTACCTCTAAAGTCGACTTTAAGCATTGATATCACTAATACAGCAGCCTTGAGCACATTATTTTGCAACGTTGAACCCATTGCGGGAAATGAACCAGAAAATACTAAATTTTTATCTATATTTCTAATTTGTTCCAACTCGTAGGTTTCCATTTGGATCACGTTGATTTGCATTTCTATAACTATGCTTTAGTTTTATGCTGAAAATAAAATCTCAATTTTTTGAGCAGCGTATTCGGAAACTTTGTTGTCTAGTTTCCATCTAGTTTTTTATATTCCTTGCGTTATTTGAGAACCGCAAAGTAGAATATTATGCATCTACATGCAATGGTGAGATCGCACATATTACCGCGGTCCCATAACCACATATCCTAGGTCCAGGTCTAAGTATCAGTTAACTGGTATTTATACTCAATCCATAACAAGTTGTGCGCTTAATCAATTTATGGGGGATGAGTATTCATAGCTCGTTTGGTGAGCATGATTTGAAACTCAAACCAGAAATAAGATTTGAAATCTTGATGGATACTTTGAGATTCTATAATAATACTGAATACGGTGTTAGATATGCTGCTGTTCTAATTTACAGTAGTAGTTCTTGAGGAGTATTCTAGAAATACCATTTTATCTTTTATAAACCATATATTTTTACTAGACAGCATGGGATGTATGTTTTATTTATTATAGGTGGCCAAAGGCAAAACTATTCTCAGTTATGCCTTCTAGGAGTATCCGAAAAATGTATTATTTTTTTTTATAATATACGTTAGTTAAAATTAATTAATAAGGGATGAGCAACAATAGCTCGTTTGAATATGCATATTAGTTGAGCATGATTGGACTTGTATGTATATTGCAACTAGCTATTGGCTGTCATCCACAGGCCAGGGCGATGGCTGGAGCCTCTGATCACCTGAAAGCTATTATAACATCGTGTTGCCGAGTATCAACTGGTATTTATACTCAATACGTTAAATCTACTTGGTGATAGATTGTCCAAAATTTTGCTATGCTTTCTTTCATTAGAATTGACATTTCTGATTCCTTGGTATTAACACAAATATTCCACTCTTGAAATGAAGGATTGTTAACTTTTATCACAAAGATTTCCACACTGTTTCTGTTCTAATATTTGACAGTAACCCTGTGATCTAATTAGATCAATAAAACTCAAATGAGAAACAATAGCTGTTTGACCATTAAAATTTTGATGGTTCGAGATTCGATACTAAAGATAATACTAAATACGGTGTTTGATATGCCGCTGTTCTAATTTACAATAGTTGCTCTGATCTTTCGAAATTGGTTTCCTATTTTCCAGAGTTCCAAAATTCACAAGGAATATTTGAGAAATATATCATTTTACTTATTTTATATAATTTATTTATTTGTAATATTTTTGCAGCCCGAAAATAATAATATATTTATATAAATATATTATTTCACATATTTCCACTAGACAACATAAATTGTTTCATTTATTATGAATAATGACCAAAGGCAAGCTATTTTCAAATATGCTTTCTAGCGCCGCTTCGGCCGTAGGCTTCACAATTTTATCAAAAATAGGCACGTTTGGCATTGTAGGTCTAGAGACTGAGTCAAAAAAAAATTCTTGAAGAAATATCCGAGAATTTCTTATTTTTTATAAACCGCACTTTTCCACTAGAGAACATGAGATTTATTATTTGTAGTTATTTGGATTTTCAGATTTGAAAGCTTTGGAATCCTTTTAGAGCTTTTTGAATGGCTTTTTTTTGTACTACTTCCGTATTGCTTTTCTTTGCTTTGCTAAATTTGTATATCGAAAATATCGAACCAAAGCTTTGCAACACCTGTTGAACGTTTAATAAATGAATCTTTTTTGTAGTTTATTGTATTTTCTTTTAGTTTATATTATATATTAGCAAAATATATTAAATTTAATCAGTTATTAATATGTTTGTCGCTTGCTATCGCTCCGTACTAACCTCACTCCGGCCCTGGCGAGCCTGCATGTCGGCGTAAGTGAACATAGAATCGTGCTCATAGATAATGTGATTGTGTGGATGTGGGTGGCAAATGGCTCTTATTATGGAACCAATCAACTATACAAAACATCTACAAACGTTTGATTAATTACCACCTTAATGCACAGAACGGCCAAGTTTTTTATGACCAATACGTTCATACTGCCAAGGTGAATTCCACTCTTTTCTTATTGATTAACAATATGTAATTTTTCATTCTTTTGTGTAATCAATAATTGAACATATCCAAATATGTTACAGAGCGATCGGGTTAATGTCGTTATTCATCACCTTAACAAGTATAGAGTATTAACAAATATTTTAAAATATAAATGTTAGTGTGTAGAATGCATTATTAAAATTATGGAATTCGAAGTGTTTTTATAGTATGATGCACTACATGAATAATCGGAACCAAACAAAAAATAGCACTTATATTTAAAACAACCATTTGATTCGAAAAATATTACTAAATTATGTTTTTGCTTATAGATGTTTTTTTCCTCTCGGGGATACCGAATTTACAACCGTGGCCGTCATAATTAATATGTAAAATTTGTGGATCGTTCGGCCGGGTTCTGTGACAACGTTTGTTTTTGCCGCGTTTGTTCCCCACGACTCCAAAAAGGATATAATATCTCATGATAATCGCCAGATATTGAGTTTAATCGACGGCTTCAAAAATTAGTTAAACAAATTAGAAACCACAGGTAGCTGTTTGCCCGTGGCGCTCCGGGCGGTTACCCGAAATAACATAAAAATGGTTGAAGTTGGAAAATGAAGGTACCATGACACCAGACTTGAAATATTTATGTACTGACCAAGGGCCATTCTCGTAATGCAGTCATTTTATTTTTCTTAGCATGTGTACGTCACGAAAAGAATAATAGCAACGTTATTTACTATACTATTTTTGCACATGAAAAGACATAGAAAATAACATATGTACTTATATTTAGAAAGATCTATGAGGCAAATAAAGCACCTGGAACTACCATTAGGACTTATTAATGTTAGTATGCCGGTTTTCGCGTATACCTGAGTAAAAGCCCATAGAATTTTTTAAACAACATATTAAGTTAGTTTTTATCTGATCCCATAATGAATTTCGCAGCACAGACCGTGTCAACAAATTGACGCGGGATACATCATGCCGTAATCCTCCGGATTACAAAATTCTACCTCGCTCATAAATAATAAGTAGGTATCCCATCAGTTTTAATCCGTTGTGGTCACGGTTCATTGAGGAACGTTTTTATTGCGCCATCGAAAGAAATACCTAAAAAGACAGTTTTTTTCTTCCACTTAGTTTTTTATGTCTATGATACGATTAATTTTTGACATAAACCTAGTTCAGAACAAGAATTATAACGTATTTAATATTGTTAATATATTTTTTATGGGTTTTATCTTTAAACAATTAATTGCTGTCTGTTATACTTTTATATCAGATAAATATATACATGATCATATTGTTGATTCGATGGTAAACACGCATTCTTTACAATGTTCAGCATATTGACGTATAATGTTTAAACTTATACGCTCCTGGAAAACCTAACGACTTTGTACTCTATGTTGGATTGTTGCTAATTGGATAATGATATGCAGGCAAATCATATGTTTATTGTAAAATTCTTTCAATATTAATATATATTCAGTTATCTCATTCATATGTATATTTCATTTAAAGTGAATATTTTATTATATGAAATTTGTAAAAGAAATGAATGAAATACGTTATTTGATGACATAAATTGATATTGAAATGGTTTTTATCAAAATTGCAGCCCGAGATGGTTGTTCACTGCACAAATATCTGTCGGTAATGCACGCAGCACTTTCTTCCTTGGATTTTTTTATATTCCGTTCTACCTCCTCCCCACGCCGCCAAAACAATCAACTCTGTCTCAGTCAAGAGCACGGCTTTAACATAACCTGCATAGCGCTGCGCTGTCTGTATGATCGCGAGGACGTGGTTTCCAAAGCCGTCTTCTACCTGTATGGCGGGGTCTGAAAGCTGTATTGTGCGTCCGGTCAGTCTCTTTGCCGGCCCCGTAGAGAACACAAGAACGTCAGTCCGATCGTGCTCTCTACAAAATAATAGTATATCGCGTGTTTGTTTCGACGTAAACAAAAGTTTGCAAGTTCCACAGCATGGGCTGAAACGATTAAATTATATTTTGATACGTATAACATATAAGACCACTTATCATCATGCAAAACAAACAAGATGACCAATTGCTGCAGGATCAGTTGAGAAACGGTGCAAGTGACTTGGCTGTGATGATTTTGTCATTACAAAGTACGATGGTGCAAAGTTTACAGCAGGCCGCGTTATTGCCGGTGAATTCTCCGGCCGCAACCGCCTTGAATCTGCAAGCTTTGGAGTCTTATATTGCTTTACAGCGATTGAGTACGTCTTCCAAAGCCGTTTTGGGAGACACATCTACTGAAGATGCGGAAGAAGATGAAGCTTTGGGTTCGCTGGACGAAGACTTTTCTTCGCTCGAAGAAGGCCATCTGCCCAATTTTGATGCAATCGCAGTGCCGGATTCTAGTGAGAAAGAACAAAGCCCGGCTCCTCAAGATGATGCTAGTGCCACCAGTAGACTGCTTGAGAATAGTGTTGTAGCTGATAAAACAGCAGTGAGCAGTGCTACATCGACTGTGTCAACTGGCGCCAGACCCAAAAAACAGTTTATCTGCAAATTCTGTAATCGACAGTTCACCAAATCGTATAACCTGTTGATACACGAACGCACGCATACAGACGAGAGACCTTACTCCTGTGACATATGCGGCAAGGCATTCCGTAGGCAAGACCATCTCAGAGATCATAGGTCAGTTTTTATCGAGTTTTTATATTAATTTATATGAGAGAAAGTTTATTGACGTGCGAATACAGTTTTCAAGTCTCGCGTCAAGAGTCTCTTTGAAGATTATGAAGCTTTTTATTGCATACGATGTTTTCAGTCTGTGGTGATAATTTATATTCACAATTATGTTTTTTATTTATAATTTACAGCGAACAACATTACTTCTATAAAATGTATCTTAAATGATGCTTATAAATTTTGCACATCATTTGATATTATATATACGTCGATCAATTTGTAAATAGTTTTAAAAATTTAAATATTACTTATTATTGAAATAATAATTTTTTGCTCAAAATTAAGAATTAATTATTATCACGGCAATGTATAATTATTTGAATTTTCTTCGGTCGTTTCTGCCATTAGTGAATTCCATTTTTTATTTCCCTCTGACCCATAATACAAATTGTAGGAGTATTAAAATAATTTAAATTCAATCCTTAAAACCGTGAAACGCGCACACAAAGCCGTAAATGTTTTGGTAATTTATAGAGCAACTCTTTTGATATATTAGTAGCCGGTATAAAATATATTGCCCCGGGTGTTATATGCGCGTATAAAGACTGAATGTATATATGGGTTTCGTAAATTATCGTAGAATATCATATAACAATACATATAAGGCATTGGTGTGCCATAAAACTAATGGGTCATCTTTGAATATTTTTGTAACATACTTGTCCGCCTGTATTCGTGTTAATAATTTTTAGTGAACACTTCGGATTATTTACATTTGAATGTTGCTCTTAAATCCATTATCTAGATAAACAATTATAATTTGTATTATATAGCACATTTTTATTTTTATTTTATAACACACGATGATGTCCATAACGCAACATTTTATTTAAACATTTTTAGATTCGCATAGTGAAAGGTTTGGAATATAATCATATTTTAGTATCGGCTTTGTCCATTTCTCTTAATTTCAGTACTAGTTTTATCGGCATTAAATATGGTTTGAAACATTTCTGCAATCATTTTTATCATAATTTAAATTATTATATAATAATTCTGTAGATCAATTTTACTTAATATTTTATTCGCAAAATGTACCGACGCAGCTCACGAGTGTATTAGTTTATTCCAAGAAGAGCGTAATTGTTTATTATTCAAAATAAATTTTAAAACAATTGATCACATTATTCCTACTCAATTGTTTAAACGAATACTAAATATGTCAGTATTTTTATCCTAAATTAGATACATCCACTCGAAAGAAAAGCCGTTCAAATGCACGGAATGCGGCAAAGGTTTCTGCCAATCGCGGACTCTGGCGGTGCACAAGATTTTGCACATGGAAGAATCGCCACACAAATGCCCCGTCTGCAGTAGAAGTTTTAATCAGAGGTCCAATCTTAAAACTCATTTATTAACGCACACCGATATTAAACCTTACAATTGTACGGCTTGCGGTAAAGTATTTCGACGAAATTGTGATCTAAGGAGACATAGTTTGACGCATAATCTGACCGCCGCGTCAAGTAGCGGCGCATCATCTTCCACCGCCTCAGCCGAACTTCCGGAAAACGATTCTGAAAATCCAGACAGATTTTCTATGGAAGAACTTTTGCAGACTGCCACGGCGAAGTGATATGCGCCTTGTATTTGTGCCAAAATTATCTTAGTATTAAATTAATATTGTTTAAGAAACATATATCGTGATATAAATTAAAGACAATTAGTGACATGTGCAAAATTAAAAGTATAAGGTCGTGAAATGTTATGAACAATTTAGGTTTAATTTATTTTTCAAATATCATTATTGGTTATATATATATATATATATATATATATATATATATATATATACCGATTATCAAACTCGACTTCTTTTTAGACTTGGATCATAACTTCTGTGTATATATTTTGTACCTATGTATAAATATAAATTGTGATTTGTTATCATTATCTATTAAATTATAAGGTGTATATTATCTAGCAAGAGTGTACCTAATATACGTACTTGTAAGGTGAAGAGTAAAACACATTAAAGGTATAGCAAAGCCGCTCATTGATATTTTTTGATTGAACACATAAGCATATTATACTCAACAATAAATTTTGTTATCGAGCAATCATGACAGTTATATAATAGAATAAGTATTTTTAAGTACATATATGATTAAATTCAGTAGCTGATGTGCTGCTCAAGATGCATTTCTTATAATGCAGTGGTGTCCACTTTTCTTCGGAATCAAAATCATATCAAATTGCTTTCTATGGATCTCCGCGCAAAAACAACATATTATGTACAGTACGTTTATAGAGTACGATGCAGAAAAACATTTTTATTTAATATATTATATAATTAATTTTGATAAAAATATAATTGTTTATAAACAAATAAATAAATATAAATTTTTATATAATTGTTTTATTTATTTCGTTATTTTTATCGTCATTGAAAATAATTGTGAACAGAAGTAGAAATCGTTTACACTTGTTCTATTAACAGTTAAGTGTTGTCAATTAACTTACAACATCCTAAACATCTGTTTTTAGTTTTCTTATTAATAAATTCATATATAGATTTTAATTTTTATTTTCTTTGTATTCATGTAAGTTTTTATATTTGAAAGTTTTGAGCTTTTTTAAGTACAACCTAGTCTTTATTGAAACTTTGGAACTCTAAACAACATTTTTAGGACAACAGTCAAAATAATGCCGCAATCACCCAAAGTTTTCTAGAATAATGACTTTTTGTCAAATAATATTTAAAACTTTGGAATCTTAACTCTAAACAACATTTTTAGGACAACAGTCAAAATAATGCCGCAATTACCCAAAGTTCTCTAGAATATTTTTGTCAAATAATATTTAAAACTTTCAAAATTGGTTGATTTGAAATGCCGTCGTTTAAACAAAATGTACTAATGAAGTGCCTTGGAAAGTTTCGTCAAAAGTTGGGTTTACAAATTGGTACAATACTGCTTAGCTTTATACTAAAAAACTAATGAAAAAGTAGAAACCTAGAAATTACAGTAAGTTAGCTAACTCATATCACTTACAATCAGTTCAAATTATTTTGTCTAGTTCATTGAGCTTGTGCGAATAATATAATATGTGGTACATACGTTATTTTTATATATTCATTTATTTAGATTATTATTTAGAAATGTTGCACTTCACTAGTTTAAATATGTAATATAATATAACAATTCAATTGTTTTTCAACTTTAATTATGTCATGTATCTTCTGCCTACAAGTATAGTGCTGTTTGCTCGCTTCATAATTGCATTTTGGTAGTAAATTTTATTGAACCATCTAGTAAATTTTGTTACACTTTATGATCAAGATTTTTAATAAAATTTGTCTTTTTTGCGTAATTTTAAGTATAATTCATGAATATCTATAATTTGATTGCAAACAGTTCAATAACCACAATTTTAAAATTATTTTTATATTTTATTAATGAGAATAGTTGTTATTAAAAAATCATAATTTTTTTCTATTAATGTATATAGCTAATGTGTTTCATATACGTTAATTTTGTTATTTTTTCAGTTGTAACTGCAAATTACGTGAATAATGTTCATATTATAAAAAACGTTCGCATAACAGAATTTCAGCAAATGATTAATAATTACAATTAGTACTTAAAATTTGCCATTTCAACCATAATAATCCGCAGTGACACACCTATTATAGTACACCACATTATTAACAGTATCCCTCCATAACACGCCTTTGCATTGAACCATTGTTGTCATTTTTCCCCGATCGAAAATGTCCTATTGTTGTTTTTCGCCAGTGCTTATTTACGAGCGATCTTGGTGGCAGCGGCGGAATTGAAACGTTGCTATTCAACCAACCACATATACCTTATTTATATGTTATCAATTGCCAATTACAATTTAGAGGTCAACATTGTTACGTTTATATAAAGCATAACCAATAAGAGATCTTGCATAATTACATGGGAGGAGCAAATTTTGCTCTCGTATTTTCTTAGCTGCAACTTTACAATGCAACGCGCATTCATTGATATACTACAAGTATATAGTGCACATTGAAAAATTGTAATTGTTAACATTAAATTTAACTATTTAAAGTAAATTTATTTTACGATACATGAAATTGGTAATTCGAAAACTTATGTAATTGAAATAAGTAACTTTAAGTTCACGAATCAGTTTGGAACAAATTAATCTGATTTAGATGCTTTATTCTAAATAATCCGTAGAAATGTGAAATAAGGTTCCTGAATGGATTCATTTAAACTGAGCTCGAGATTAGGTTTTGTTATGTATATATATATATATATATATATATATAACAAATATATATATATATATATATGTATATATATATATATATATATATATATATTAGGGTGGTCCTTAAAATGGTCATTTTCTAATTTTCTTGCTCCCAGGGGCTCAAATGGTTCCAAATTGATAAAAAACAATTCTCTGAATGTTTTAGCTCTTGTTATTAACGTTTAGATAGAGCGCAATTCAATCAAACTTCATATGGAAAGAGCACGGAAAAAACTTTGAAAATTTAAAAAAAAATGTTTTTGGTATAACTTAGCGACAAATGAATGAGTTTTATTCATTCATTTGTTCGCTAAATTACATCTAAAAAACATTTTTAAAATATTTGAAAATTTTTCCATGCTATTTCCATACAAAACTGTGATTGAATTGCGCTTTATCTAAATTAATTTAATTTAATTTTGTAAAATGCGTCGAAATCTTATCACATTTCCATTTTATTTCAATACAAAGTTTTAATACGATGAGATTAGGTACATTTATTTTTAAGTATTTCTTTATAAATTTTGCCTCTATTTCTTCTTTCATCAGAAAATTCGTTGGTAGTACATAAAACGTCTAAATTGGATGCCAATCCAATAATTAGGCGTCCGGGTATGATGGCATCATTTTGAAGTAAATGAAAGACTTTATGGAAAAATATCTAGTTCAAATGGTATGTAAAAAATATTGAACTAGGTGTTGCATTCTTTAGGACCAATCTTTTGCGCAATGTCAATGGTGTTATCAAAACTTGTTATTTCCTTAATTTTAGTGATTTTGTTTGTTTGGTTGCCAATTACGTACGTGGTTAGAAGACAAGTGTTGAAATTTTCATATTGTTCTCAAACTAATAAAAATGAACTTTTAATTCCATTTTGTTCTATATTTTTATGGTGTTTTATACAACACATTTGTGCTTAGTGATTACGTAAATATTCTATTTGGAATCAAAGAAATCCCTACAAAAAACGCCGCAGTGAGCAAGGTCTCACGAGATGTGTGAATGTTAGATACGCCTATCAATAGAGATCTTCTTACGCGTATAATTAAATGTATTAATCATCTCGGTATAATATGTTTTGTATTAGCTTCCAAACCTTGAAACAGGTAACGATTTGATGTCTGTAATACGAGTTATCTATACCATTAAAACATATAAAGTTATCGATAAGTTCTCAACAAGCGTATGAAAAACTGCGAAATTTTAGCTTAACATTGGTGCATACACGTTCGCGTTTGGATGTGTTATGCATATTATATGAAGACATATAAGCCTGTTCCCTATTGAGATAACTTGTTTGATTGAAATAAATCCTTTTGAAAGGATTTGCATATGCCACAATATATTTATTAAAACGCGTTGATGTTTGTAATCCGATGTTGCATTAACGAATCAATCTGATCTTTTTCTTAAGCATTACGTATTTCGATATACATTGTTTGTATGCCGCAAATGTAAGTATAGGTAAGTCAGTCTTAAATAGATTTAATTAGGAAATGTTTCACATCTTGCAATGTGTCGGGATTTCGACGATATGTTGAAACTTAGTGACACAATTCGTGAGTCTCTTTCATAGACTTTATCACAGTCTGCTAACGTTGAGTGCTCGCCGAGAACGTGTTTTCGTTTTAGATCAGTTTGCAAATAACACGCCCGATCACGCGCGCCTTAGAAAATTGGTCCGACCTAACTGTGTTTAAACAGACCAGTCAAAATGCTAGGAAGAGACTATTGTGTGTCATTTTCCTAAAAATTTTTGCTTATTTGTCATTATGTCAATTTTCGCTAGGCGTAGTTTCGGATTATTTTGTCTACAAGCTAACTTATCACGAGCTGCAGTTAATTTTGTTACTTTTAAGCTGGATTAAAATACATCTTAATTACCTAAAATTCTCTACATGACTCACGTTCTGTTTGTAGTAGACAGTTACAGTGTTGATTGAGCCAAAAAACTATTATTTTATTAGATTTTTATATTTCAACATACAATTGTTTTTACTTAATTAAATAAATATGCAATTGCAATGGTAGAAGTAACCAGTGTTACTTCTACTTCTAACACAAAACTAGTGGTATATGGCATCATGCCTTAAGTTAAAATGCTAAATAAACCAAACTTAATCAATTGGATTTAAAATGAGAATTATATAAACTGAATTAAAAAGTTGAAATACAAAAGTCGATATACAATTTTTTTTTAAATTTTTAAATTGGAATAAAAAAAAATACTCAAAAAGCAATTGGATGCTTAGTTTTCACAAAAACTGCCATTTTTTGCACATTTAGCGCCGTATCTCCAAAATGGACCTGCCTTTACCAAAACCTAATCACTAGTTTTCTCC